AATTGTTTGCCCAGAATTAGTTTATTCGCGTAATTTATTATAATCACTAGATAATAATTTGTGCTTTTATCTTAAATCGCTAACATCTGAATCGACTAACCATTATTAATAATCTTAATACCTACGTCCAATACTATCTCATTTATAATATATTTAAAAAAAAATAAAAAGAAGTAATAAATGAATAATATATGATTAGCTATTCAAAAGTAAATAGTAATAGCACGTATTAAAAGAAATTGATAACCAATTTCTTTTAACACGTGCATTGAATTTCGTTATAATTATATAAAGCATTGAAGCTGCATATAATTATAACGAAATTATTTATTTGTTTATTATTTATTTATGATACAAAATATTACACAATTTTACAAATAATATAATATTATTTACAGATTATTCGTAAATTTATCTAGTCTTAAATACAAAATGTCACAACAGGCGATAGTAATATATAAAGAATATACAATTATTTAAATTGTCTATTCTTTCAAACTCAGCATTCGACTAGTACTTCGAGTAGTTGATAGTATTGAAAAAAATTATAGATAGCTATTCGAATAACAAAGTTTTATATAAAAAAAAAACCATAATAAAAAAAACATTTATTAAAACAAACGAAATCTCAATTTACATCTAGTATGAAATAATTGTTTCATCATCATCATTTCAGCCATAATCCATCCATTGCTGGACATAGACCTCCCTCATAGACTGCCATAAGGAACGGTCCTGAGCCACTTGCATCCAATAATTGTTTGTTCTTGTATTATTAATATAATACAATAAACAAAACTAAAGTACTAAATACAAAGACTACAAAGGCTTGAAATGATATAGTGAATTACACAAAGGCAATAGACAAATTGTTCAACTGATATACAAGGAATGTAATGAACAAATAAAGTAATTTCATAAACAAACGTGAAACAATATAAGTGATAGCACGGAAAATAATGCAGTTAGCAAATAAATTAGGTAAACATTGAAATTCCTAGTAATTGAATAACAAATGATATGTTCAGTAAAACATGTAATTATGCATGAAATTGTTCATGACTACATGTGTTGACACAGATGTATTAACTTCTGGAATGAACTTGAAATATAAGTGATAACATAGAAAAGAATGCAATTAGCAAATAAATTAGGTATACATAAAATTTTTAGTGCTTGAGTAACTGATGATATCTTCAGCAAAATATGTGTATGACAATATAGTTATATATGTAGAAGAGTTCATGGAATCCTCCGCATGTTGACACAGATGCATTATCAGGCGTGACACTTCTGATAAATACCAGGTGTGTTATTGTATTAAACTTGTGGACAAAGAGAATGTAAAAAAATAATATTCCGACTATTCGTTCCCGACTCGTGAGTTCCCCATGAAATCATCTACTATAACTACAATTATTGAGATGTTGTTGAGACTCGGTGCTAATGACTTAATCGTAGATGTGCAATATTTATCGGTACAATATCAACTGAGTTGGTTTGATAAAATTAATTCTACCAATATTATGAACATAGAAATTTGTAATTGGTGTTATTTACTCTATCACATTAAACTGCTCTAATGATTTCAATGAAATTTGATAGACCATAACCTAGATTAATAGATAGGATACTTTTTACCCTAAGTGAAGGCAAATATGTCTTATGTAGAATTTATCGTCACTTAATAATACCACCTCTTGCACAAAAGTCGTCACGATGGGATATCTATGTGCAATTAGTGTTTCTGCAGCGAATTAGTTCTGCTCACATAAATGTGCTTCAGTTTCAAGGATGGGTGGAATATGGCTGAAAAGTTATAGAGTATGGAGGTATAATACCTTAATCCTTTGGAAAAACAACGCATGGGCCACCGTCGACATTACAGTGTTTTCTGTGATGCCTATGGTGCTGTTTGTCTACAGGCGATGATTACCACTTTCTATGAAATGGGCCGCCAGTATGTTTGCCAACTAAATTACTTCATTTTCAAAAAATCTGTAAATGTACTTTTTATCAGTGTTCTTGTCTAAGAGACTAGGTAATCAGGATTCTTAAAAATAATAACTATATATTTTTAAAATTATAACTGACCAATGAATATAAAATAATAAACTTACAACCGCTTTTCCATCAAAGTCCTCTTAATCTCAGTTAAAGTAAACCTAACAATTTTAATCATAAATAATGATAGGATGGTATAATCTTCCTGAGATTATCCTGATTGATACAGGTCTTTTATAAATGTTGATGTATTTTTACTTTTCTATTAACGTATTGAAAGATTACATAAATTATTAATAAACAAACTGTTATTAATAAGTCCTAGCTACATCCCACATGAACTATGATAAAAATAGTATATACTCATTTTAACTCTGGACATATCATCTGTGTGTAAAAAGTACCATTTATTAATATAAATAGTACTTTTTACACAATTCATTAATAAGTTCATGGGTAATAAAAATCTAAAGATCCAAACAATTAAAAAACTATTGCACTTATTATATTAATATTTTTTTTATTAATTATTAAAAATTAGAAAGAACTAGACAAGTAAATAAAACCAATTATCATATGTTAAATATGATAAATTTGAAATAGATAAATCCAAAAATTTATAGTATATTCTCTAATGTTCATGTCTATTGGCGATGGTTACTACTTTCAATTAGACGGGCCATCAACTAGTTTGCCATCGTAAGTACCATAATACTAAAAAAAATATAAACGTTATACAATTTAATTATACAAATTTAAAATAGGAACAATACGTCTTTGGTATCAGCAAGTAGTATGTATTTGTACCTATATTTAGAAATTGTCTAATTGCGTCTCAGACATTCATTTATGCGCCACAGTCGTATCACAATTATTTAATCTAAATGTGACAGCTTTCAAGAAAAAGGAGTTTTCAAATTCGATACAATGATTGAATTGTTTTTTGTATTAAAAAGTAATCACGCAATCAGTCTATATGTACTTATCTACTGATTAGATAATTCACAAGTAATCTGTCTATTATATAGATACTTAGATTAAAGCTGATAAAATAAACAACGTAATAATCGTAATTGCATATAACATGCAGAAACCTAAAAGTGCATTGTAAAATACTTTAATTATATATATATATATATATATATATATATATATATATATATATATATATATATATATATACATATAAACTGTCAATTATAATCTTGGTAGAACTGCAGCGTTGTTTTCTTCTGTCAAATTCTAAATTAAAAAAAATTTAATAAGTTCCTTTTCTTATTTGCACGAAAGCAACATATTACGAAAACCGTTAGTCATTAAAAATACTTAATAACAATAAACAGAAATAAACAATATATCCTAAATAATGTCTTGGGTACAATTGGAAAATAAAAAAGTATAATATTCTTACCTCTATTCAACTTTTGATGATGCCAATCATTAAAATGAATGTTTAAAGGCCAAACTTGAAAGAGAGGCTAACGGATTAGTCGGGATTACTAAGTAGTAGTAAATTTCATTACTAGTAACATAATATTAAGAAAGAATTCATCATTTTTCGCCGTGAGCTGCTTATAAATCAAATAAGCTAATCGACAACACATGCTTGTGTACGACAGTTAATTAATAAGCACCGTTGAACGGTTAGTGTGTTGAATAAAAATAGACAGCTCCAAACTATAGAGTAATTAAATTAAGAGTCCTAATTACTACCTCGGGGCTTCACGGAATACATCAAGGTGCTCTTTCAAGCCATTAGCGATAATTGATTTCTGTGTCCGACTCCAAAACAAAAAGAAATTTGTAATCACGGTTATTGATGCATCTTTAATTTGACCATAACCCGTTTATTGTAAAGGTAACCTAATCTAAACCATGTAATAAAAGTATGCATGTACATATATTTTTATTAGTGACTAGCTGTATCCACATGAATCAATATATAAAATATGCTATGTTCTAAATTAGGGTATAATTTACTGACTACCCCTCATCTAATGGTATCTGTTATTTATTTTTTTATTTAGAATATAATATCAAATGAAGACGAATATAATGGACACATACAATGCAGTTTATTTATATTTCTTTTTATTGTAAATTTTTAATGAGGAGTTTCGCGACTGACTCTTGGCCACAGCAGAATATCAGTGTTTTGCTCTTTTAAGGGCAAAGCAATAAACTGAGCTGTGACCATTTTGTGTTACTATGGCACACGCATGAAGGAAGGGAAAGAAAGGAGATTGTTAGTTTATATATTTTGTTTTTGTTTTTTTTTATTTGTGCTTTTTTATTTTCATTATTTTATCTCTTTTCCTGTGTATTATTTGTATTTTTTTTATTGGAATTTGTGTGCTGTAAGTAATGTAAATAAATTATCTATCTATCTATCTACCCGTGTACCAAATTTCAGTTCAAATTCATTCAGTAATGTTTGGAAACAGTAAAAAACATTCATCCATCCACCCATCCGTCAAATCATCGTTACAAGGGTTTGTATTTGTAATATTAATAGAATAATCAAAATTAAACACTTATGTCTATAAGTACATTTGTTACGATAAAACTGTAACGAGATCACATAAAAGTAATCTTTTTACAAAATTGTAACATGCCAACACCATTTTTTTACATTCTTGTCTGTCTGTACACGCGTTATGTAAAAACCAGTTTTGCTGAATTTTGGAATTTATATTTACAATATCTCGCTAAAGAATACAATGTACAAAATATATTTTGTCTACTAAATATAATATGAATGAGATACTTTTTTTTAATCTCATTTGAAACAAAAACTTACGCATAAAAATTACGCATAAAATACATTTATGGACCCCAAAAATTCTAATGAAACTTGGTAGTTGGTACGCAGAATTTAAAATGAATACCACATAATGCATTTCGTGGAGTAATTTACAATCAAAATCACGCAGATCAAATTGCGGAAACAGTTTGTACCGACTGCTATATTAATAAAATTATTTTAACAATCTTACCCGATTTACCGCAACGTGCGCTACCCAGCACCACAACTCTTATTCGATTCACTGTCATCTTCATTGGTCCTGTCGTACACAGCACAGTGGGCAAGATTACGGGTTGAGTCCGTTTATTTGTAACTCGACGCTGAGTATACAATCGCGTTGTTATTATCAGTTGTTGAATAACCGCACGCGCGCACAACGCACCTGCTTGCGAGCGACTGCCGTCAAACACAATTGGCGCAAAGCGCACTCGAACATGTCTATTGGAGTGAGAACATTTTTAATAAATTATTTACTATCGTCGAGGACAGTTTCGATGCATTTGACGTTGTCTTGTCAATCGACAGCTGGACTCTGCGGTGCAACTTGTTCACTCTTGCCAGTTAGCTCGCCTTATCTCCCCGACTCGAGAGACTTGCCGGTATCTCATGCTTCACACATTTTATGAGACCATCCTGTTCCAAGCTACCGGCAAATGACATTTAATGGTAATTAGGTCCAATAAGCGATGGTATTCGACTGCATAAATACGAATTGCGTAGATCTGGACGAGTGTCTAAATACAAAATAGCTTATTAACAAACGTTCCTCTAAACGTTTGCCGGTAATCTTATCATAAACTCAGCGATTTATTAATACAGAGAGTATGAAGTGCTTGGTTACGGTTCTATCAGCAAATATTAGGGTTAGCAGAGCAGACGGCGCATTTAATCTACGTGAATCTATGCCAGCGTTCAAATATGTGTCGATATTTGACATAATGTATGATATAACAAACTGTTAACAAGTTCCAGAACTGATAGATAATAAAATAATTGTAAAAAATACTTTATAAAAAATACACCTACGTACCTTTACATAAACTTCTGTGTAATGAACTTTAAGCTCTATGATCAGACTCGATTAACATCGTCAACTAACTTATAGTAAAGCATTCTATTATAATTTCTCTAACCCCATCATCGGATCTGCACATCGACATTAAAACATTAGAGATCTATCTGGCTTACTTTGCAAAATCTCAACACAGATGTTAGAAAATTGACAAAAAAACAATAAAAAAAAGTTTAAATCATAAAGAACAGACGACCGGATATACGAGCAAATGAATGCTTTTAAATTAATGCAATTTTTTTATTAACTCATTTAATTAAAAAATAAATTAAATTATTATAATAATACTGAGAAAACTTTAACAATTTAATATGTTTTATATCAGAGCATTTAATATGTATTTATTCTCATGAGGTTGTTTCTAGTCTCTACTATCTTAGAAAATCCCCTTTTCCAACAATCTGTATAAATATTTATAAGCAAAGCTATTGTTAAATTTGCACAATAAAACTATAATAGATACGGAATAGAATAAAAACATGCCATACTTTTGTTTGATTTTAATAAGGCAACTAAGCGGTTCGATATAGAAGAATTTTAACAAGCTCTTTGTTAGAGAACTCTAATCGCCTACGTCGATGGCCTGACCGTGATATGTTTGTCATCGTTATGCATATGTGTGATTAGGTAGATTTATATAAAACGAACATTATTTTATATTATTTACAATAGCAAACAAGCTGTTTTTGCACTTATAGACAACAATTACTGCCTACAAAACCACTAACACTAAATATATAATAATATACAACGAACCTTCCAAAGCAATGGCTTGGTTTAGATTGCTACTTCTGCATGAAGACAAAGTAATATGTATACTAAATTCGCAGGGCTGGTTTTCAATATAACACAGTAATACCTATACCGGCGAAGTACATAAATCACTTACATAATTAATAAATATTGTTACGACACTACATCAGGTACTACTACATTAAGTTAGTAAATCTAGAAGTGAGTATTTCTTTTGTACATTAAATTTGGCATACACATTTTATTGTATATAAAGAAATATAATCATGAATTTATTAAAAAAACACTTGTACTATGTCCACAAAAAAGGTGTAAATAATATATACCTAACCGATTTCGCAATTTAGTATATTCTCAAAGATTAGTTTTATAGTAGTTTTTTTTTTCCCAAGAAATCGATTGGAAGATGGCTGAAAATTAACTTGAATTTAATCTTTTTTTTTTTATACAACTTAGAATCTTCTTTACAAGAGTCCAAATTGATAGAATTTCTATTAATAAAAAATAGTTAACTTGACTAAAGGACAGTCAGCTGATGTCGAATAATTAGTAGATCATCATATGAATATGTACAGGTATATATGTATTAATATATAAATACTATATTAATATGTATGTTAGTTTTATGAATGTTAGTATGTATGTAATTACCATATACTAAAATATAAATATTTTTTTTTTTAAATCGCCATCGAATGTCTCCACACATTGCTGCATTAAGTCCGCCTTTTGCACCACATTTTATTGGTTAATAAAGTATAAATAAATAAAATAATATAGTACAAATAAAAAAATAACTAATTGATTGAATATTTCTATTTAGTGTCTGTGGAGTACAGGTCACATATATTATTTATAGCTATATTATTATTTACCAAATTCGAAATTGACACGCATATCTATTGTTTCCTTTTGGCTAGTCTTCTAAGTTCCTTTGACTATTATATACATATTTCCAATTTCCATTCCTGGTTTCCTTTGTCGCCCACAGTGTCTAGTAATTTCATTTAGAGTATTTCTGTGAAAATATTAATAAAACTTGCTTACGTTTTCATTATGTTTTATTGAAACAGAATATACTTTTGCCACTTTTAATTCCGGTCAGTCAATATATCGAGTAATACGTATATTTGACTTACTTACATGGTTCTATATACCTAATTAAATCCCTGTATTTCAAATTCTGAATTCAATTTTAATCAAAAACATAATATTCTTATACAACACCTAAATGTTTTATGGATCAATCATTTGAAGTAATTTCACGGATATTATACGTGCACACAAAATAAAACGCAAGGAGTTTGAATCAAATAAAGTAAAATGTTAAATTAAGTACAGTCTGAATATACATTGATACTATCTTTATATTATAATATGTTTTTTTAATTAAATTAATGTATGATGACATCAGTATCTGTCTATAAATATAGACAATATAGGGCTGCAGCGTCCCTCTTAAAACATCTCTTCGTTTCATTCGGTCATCATTCGGTTGCCAACCCGCTTGCCAAGCATGGTAACTACTAGTTACCCCCCCCCCCCCAAGGGGGAGGCCAATGTTCAGCAGTGGAAAGTTAAGGGCTAATGTGATGATGATGATAATTATTATATTCGAAAAAAACTTTCTTCAATAAATTTTATTAACACTATAATCTAAGAGTGACATCTAAATTAGTACGGGATCATATTAAAAGGATACTCTAATAGAACTAAATAGAAAAAAAAATGAAAATAACAGCAGTTCAATGTTATGAAAAACATTTTCTGAATACTACAAAGCAACAAATCACTAAATCAAAGAAAATAAAAGTTACTTTTAAATTCAACAAAACATTTAATTTTGAAAAAGACATAATTAAAGGTTTATTACAATTAAATGATTATTAGATTATATTATTGCCAAATTAGCACTTGGTTATGACACACAGAATATAAATACCAACACTGATTTAATATATTTTAATGTAATACAAAAAAGGAAGAAATGTTACAATCAATTCCACATGATAAATGTGTAAGTACCAAAATTTTAACACATTTGTCAGATGGAATTGTTAAAAAAATAAAGAAAAGTTTTATATCATTTTTCATTATCAAAAACTCTCGACGACAAAAAACATACTTTAAATTTATAGTGATGTAAAAGTTAATTGACTCAGACTCCACAAAGGTTTCTTTATAAATTCGAGAGAGACAGGTTGGCGGGACTTTGTCACGGCTCTCCGAGAGAGGATTTTAGAGGCGTCGAAATAAAAATGAAAACAACATGCGGGGCAGACGACACCTGCAGACATTGTAAGTCTTCTTTGCGGTTGTAACCTCCCCCTCAACCCTCACTTCATACCCGCCAGCACTGCCTGTGAGCCGTATAGTAACGATATTATATATTGGAAATTATGAATAGCTATTAAAAGGCGAATTCGTTTCTATATGACAAAAGTTATTATAATTATGTTGAAAATATTAATTCATTTAATAAATAAATTGTTAACTTGTCTAAAAACTGCTTAAATTGCTATTAATTTACTTTTTCTTAATTATATGTGTAATGCTATCTAAATTTCTCTATTAACATCATTTTTTTTAAACTGCTAATAAAATATGAATACCTTTTTGCGTTAAAAATTCTAGTAACAGAAATTATACTGTAAAACTTTTTTATCTATTTCTTAAAAATAAAAACGTTTAAAATAATATAAGAATTTATTCCATAGAGACGTACTTTATATTAATGTACTAAACTAGAACTTAGAACCGTCTTCTTTAGGAAAATAAATTAGAATCAGAACCAATACTAATCGATAGTATTATAACATTACAGACCGCCATCCTGATCGAGTTCATCCGTAGTCGACTACGACTCCTGTTACATTCGACAAAGAACGTTCGTCGGCAGCTATACGATATTATCGAAAAAAGCCGAAATTACGAAACTAATTCACAGAATTTCAGTGAAGTAGCAGGCAAAAAACAATACTTATCAGATTACATGAGAATATAATTTAACATTTTGCTTCATAAAAAGTGAACTCAGACATGACATAATTAATATGAGACCAAAACAGGAGTAAACCTAATAGATTGTAAAAACTATTAAAATCAGTTCACATTTGGCAAGAATATTACGTATACTATAGACAACTATATGAACAGATCGCCTCTACTCTTTTTTGAATATTTGAACCAGTAGTAATATAAAACTATTATCATCATCATCATCATATCAGCCATTATATGTCCAATGACTACATTGGCTTCCCCGTAAACTGTCATTAGGAACGGGGTCATTCCTTATGGCAATTTACTATTTGGGTATGTTGCACAGTAATTGTCATATCTGGCAGATAAGTTAGCAACCGCACTTTGATTTTTAGTGATGTTTTAAGAGGAACGCTACTGACCATCTCTCGACCATTAAAAAATTTTAAAAATATTATTTTAACTTTTTTTATTCAAACGAAACTTACACTAGCTATCATCGCATGCCTACTCTGACATACGAATAAGTACTATGCTTTCTTTAAAACGTAACCATTTGAAGATTTATAGCATTAAACTAGTAGAACATAAAAGAAATTCCTAGTGATTCCTTTACAGTTGTAAACAGAAAGTTAGACTTGTCTCTTAATAGAAACCTAAAACTTTTTAGACAAACTAGCGAAGAGTTAACCTATTATTACTAATTC